TCAAGGTGCAGGTACAAGTCTCTGTATAGTCCTCTGATTCTTCACTATTGTTATCTATTGAAGTGCCTCCGCGATTCAAATAGCGTAGCCTCCGGGATTCAAGTGGCGCGTGCCTCCAGGATTCAAATGGCGTAGCTTCCGGGATTCAATTGGCGTGATCTTCAATAGCAAATTTCAAGCTTCGAAGCAATCAACTCTGCAAAACATCAAATTAAAGCGCCTGCAATGGCTTCAAGTTGCCTTAAAGATCCTCAAATGCCTTCAAAAGACTTCAAGATCTTCGATCCAATCAATTCTGCAAAGCTCCAAAGTACATGCAATGGATTCAAATTGCCTGCGAAATCAACAAAAATGCCTTCAAGTCTTCAAGCTTTCTTCAATGCCTTCAAGCTCTTCAAATGCTCTAGTTGTTCTTCAAATGCTCTCAACTCCTCAAGTCTTCAAGTTGTCAAGTGTCGTTCTTCAATGCCTTCAAGCTCTCAAGTCTTCAAGTTGTTTTCAATGTATTTGAGGTGTGATTTAAAGAATGAAATTGAGGCTCTATTTATAGTGAAGTTTGTAACTAAAATCTCTCAACAAACTCCACTAATATTTATTAAATTAAATTAATTAATTATCTACTAAAATGAACCTTGCCAAAATCAAGTCTAGGTTCATTATTCTATCATCTAATTCAAATTCAAATTAAATTATAATTATCTAATTCAAATATAATAAAATCATATTATATTTAAATTATAATTATAATTCACTTATGAAATGGGCTTGGACCAATTAATTAATTAATTCAATAGCCCAAATCAAATTTACTTGGACTAATTAAATTAATTTAATCATCATAGTCCAATTAATTAAATTGGACTAATGATCAACCCTGAAATTGGGCTTGATAATGATTTAATCGGTCCACTTGTCGGCTTCAAATTTTCTGTGTCTACAGCTTGTAAGATAAAGAGTTAATAGTACAACTAAGATCTCATCATATACACAACAAGGCAAATCTAATGTTTCCTACACCATAATCTCATTGCACGATGAATCCATCTATGATACCACCAGTAACCCAATTGCATATGACATACTACCAATTAAAAAAAAAGGACATGTACTCAAGATGAAGACAATGATAATGCTACCCAAAAGAGAACTAAGAAGAATTAGAGAAATTTAAACCAAAAGTAGTATTTATTTAGACTATCATTTTTAGACTAGCGTTATTACAAAGTTGCAAACATTTATTTTAGTGACAATATAATCAACCTCTCATGTATTATATTGCATTTATATACTTTAAATTACCGATTTAAATAAACAAATTCAATATTTATTTATCTATGCATGAACATATCCAATATAATATTGCATTGATATACTTTGAAATACTTATTTAAAAATAATTATTGGGCATTATTCCACTCGCGCAAAGCTCGTAAAAGAACTAATAATAATAATAATAATAATAATAATAATAATAATAATAATAATAATAATAATAATAATAATAATAATAATAATGAAGTAAATCCAAGTCCTTGCTGCCTGCTCTGCCGTTTAACTTATATTCTCACTGGTATCTCTCGTAAATATTTTATAACCAAATAGTAAACATTCATTTAAAAAAAATATAGTAAACATCAGTTAGCTTTGTTATATTATTAGACTTTGGATTTATATGAGAGATACCCGTGAGAATATGAGCTGAACGGTAAAGGAGGCATCAAGGGACTTAGATTTACTTCTTTTATTATTATTATTATTATTACTAGTAGTTGCGCCCGTGCGATGCACGACCATGATATTATGTGCAATATATAAAAGATTGTTATATCGAAGATATAAGACCAATAAGATTTTAGATGTAATAAATAGACAAAATATAATTTATTGGTGTTCCATAAACAAAATAATTACACATTATTAAAGATTTCTTTGTAAACTACATTTTGAGTCTTGTTTAAAGACGTCTAGATTCCCCACAAATTAAGACCTTAAGACTGTCAATATTACTCACCCTAGAAACTGTTACATATAATTGGTCATGGTTAAAAACTGTTTTTTTTTTTTCAGTAACAAACTAACTTGTGAAAGCGTTTGACCTTGACTTTTGTTGATTGTCATTGCATATGACAACATAAGTGAAAACTACTTTCTTTGAAATTTAAATGAAAATCTTGGGTCTGAAGGAGTAAAAAATAGCCTTGATATCAACACATTTGTACCAGCGTTGTTGCCACATCGGATTTGTGCCTCAATAACATGATTTCTCAACTGTGTTACTATCAACCTTGTACCATTGCACAGTCCCAAGGAGTGATCTATATTTCTCAGTAGCATAACTGGAGTTCCAACTTTCAAAGTTAAACAGTGGTTGGGGACTCCTAAGCATCTCAAACTGTTTAAATTTTTTAAAAAATTCAGAACAAACCAATATTTAAAATATTAAAATCATGTTATGTTATTAAAAATATTAATGTTATTAAATTTCATATATAGAAAACAAATATGAGATTTATTCTTTTATAAATTGTTGTTATTAAATTAAAAATTGATATTTAAGCTAGATAATTACTAAAAAGTGTTAATATCATATTTAGCCATTCGATGTCATTTCTGATCATCTGAGTATAGTAATTTTGCCACGTTTAGTTCTAAACATTCAAATTGACGACCTATGATCTTTCGACTTTCAAATTGTATTGTTCTTGTATTGTTCTAAACTTTCAAATTGACGACACATGTTCTTTCCTTTTTTCATGAGAACAAAAACTGTTAACTCTTTTATATTCGAACATATAATGATATAATTTAAAAAAATTGAACCTTTAATTTTTGAAAAGTTCCGTTTAATTTTCGTATTAAATCTGTTAAACATACAAAATTTTAACCTTTTATTTTTAAAAAATAGACCATTTAAAAAACCGTTATATTTAAATAAAGATTTTTCATTCTTTTCATAAGAGAAAAAACTGTTAACTCTTTTATATTTGAGAGTATTAGTAATTTTACCGTTAAATATGTATATTTCGCACCAAAAAAGATAAAAATTTAATATTTTTCTTTTCGGTCAGTAAAAAATATAAGTTCAAAAATATTTATTTACCATTTTATTTAGAATTTGATCATAGTTAAATTTAATTATATGAATTAATAGATGTGTATTTGATGACGAATCATTGTTTTGGAACACAATTTAAATATCTCGTTAATCTGAATATTAATTCTCTACAAAATACCAATAAAGTTATTAATTAGTTTATTATATATATATATATATATATATATATATATATATATATATATATATATATGCATTGTATAGAAAGTTATAGAATGTTACCCGGCAATTAAATAAGAATTAATTAATATTTAAAATATGTAATTAGCTAAAATAATAAATTTTTAATACAAAGTATTCTAAAATAAAAATTATTAAAAACATCTTAGTAAACAACAAAAGAAATCTATATTCTCATTTCTCATTACACCAAAATGGAATGAGCTATACACTCCGATCTCCGACAGTGTCCACTAATTCCTAAGCTTTAAGGACTTATGTAGTGTAGCTTAGCCGGAATATACATCTCAGTGTTACTGAGATGAGATAGAGGGCGTGTGTGGTTCTAGAAACCATGCTCCTCCATCCCTTCTGTTCTACACTTTCATTTGCTTCCAGCATGTTCTTTGAATATTTCTTTATTCCATTGAATCACCATCTTTCTTGAATCTGCGCCTGAAAATAAGTTAAGAAAACTGCAAGATAGCTAATATAAATCTGTCACATAGAAATTAATAGTTCAAACTTAGACATCACTAACACTTGGGTCAAAAATCATAGTCCAAAATAATGTTTTAGAGGTCAAACAGGGCAAAATACAGTTCTGAATATTGTTTCACAGCCCACCCGTACAAAAAGATTTTATCAGAAACCAAGCTACTCTAGGTCAATGTCACTTTTTCCAGCTTGACATTCACTTGCTTATTCTTTTTTGAGGTTTTAGTGGATGATAATTCATCCAGAAGATTTCTTTTCACTAAATCACTTACATCACCACTCAATTCCTTCACTGGCCATAATGTTGGAGTAATAATTTAAAAGATTAAAGGAAAAAAAAAAGAAGGTATGAATTAATAACATTGAGAACAATTTATATTACAAATTATTAAAAATTTCTTTGTAAACAATATTTTGAGTAGTGTTCAAAAAAACTCTACGTTCATCACAAATTAAAACTTTAAGACCATCAGGATTACTAATTCTAAACACTGCTACGTACAATTGACCATGGTTAAAAACATATTTTTGTTTTTACTTTTCGGAGTGTTCATAGTTAATTCATGGCTGCCAATAATGCAATCAATACCAAGTACAGTTGCATTAAAACAATAAGGTAGATAATGATTAAAAATAATAATATATCATGACTAAATACTTATATACAGAGTTAATACCATCCAAGGTCCTCCGAGTATAGTGGTTTTGCCACGTTTAGTCCTAAACTTTTAAATTGACCATCTGTGGTCCTTCGACTTTCAAATTTAACCATCCATGGTCCAAGTTAACCACCCATGGTCCTTCGACTATTAAATTTTAACCAACCATGGTCCTTTTAAGAGGACCACGACTGGTTAAATTTCGAAACTTGAAGGACCATGAGTGGTTAACTTGGACCACGAATGGTTAAATTTGAAAGTCGAAGGACCACAAATGGTCAATTTGAAAGTTTAGGACTAAACGTGGCAAAACCACTATACTCGGAGGATCTCATATGGTATTAACTCCTTATATACATATGTGTGTTTGTGTGTGTGTGTGTGTGTGTATATATATATATATATATATATATATATATATATATATATATATATATATATAGAAAAAAAAGAATAATAGTAAATATCATAATAATTATTAATAAATTAGTAATTACGGAGTAGTAATAATAATAAAATGAATTAAAACAAAATATAAAAGAAAATTGAATTAAGAAAGATACCAGCGACTGAACCTATTCTCTCGTCATCTGTCTCCCTATCTGTACTCACCGTCTCACTCTCTCTTGTCCTCTCCGTCTCACTGTCGAAATCTCTACTCTCAATCTTCGTCGCTAGGTTCTCTCAATCTCAATACGTTTCACTGAAAATTGTACTACCTAAAGCTAATCTATAGGGTTCAGACGAAGAACGGTAAGTAATTTCCTTTTTTCAATTCGAAATCAACGCTTTAATTCATTGAATCTAGAAGATTGAACACCGCTTGGAATTTGAGTTTCCTTTTTGTTTGATTGATCTGAAATTTTCAAGATACAAATCTCTAAGTGGTCGGAGCTTCTACAATCCAAGTTCTGTCTGGGATATCTACGAAAAGCTAAGTGTGGATTCTTCCATTTTGATTTGGGTTTTTACGATTTCCTACAGTTGCTGAGTTTAATTTCTAAGATTTCTACGAAAAGCTAATGTATTTCTTATATATTGTATGTGTAGTGAAGACCGATCCAGTGCATGTAAGATCTGAGTACAGATCTGGTTTTTTCGTGCGCAAATGTGTAGTGAAGATCTATCCAAACCCGACCCATTAGAGATGTGCGCAAATGTGAGATCTGTTGTGTCTTTTACATTCCACCACAGACCCCTCTTGCCATCTCGATCAGCTAGCATTCTCTCATATCTTCAGACCTTCTCTCTAACACTGTCCTAACCGATCTAGACTGGTACCAGGAAAAGTTTTTTAGTATTCCAGCTTTGCAATTAATTTGTCTTTCTTATATATGAATTTTACTTTAATATATGTAGCCAATGCTAACCATTTATTTGCAAGAAATGGCATATGATGAAATCTTATTCTGATGTCCATGTCTCACATTATGGCCGAGCTATAGTTGAATGTAGTTCTGTATCCAATACTTAGCAGTTATTTGCAGAAAATGGCATGTGATGAATTCTGATTCTGATGCCCCTGTCTAGCTTTAATTTAGTTATATAGTTCACTATTGACTTGTATCAATTTAAATTTGTTTGGTGGTAGCTACAATCTTTGTTTGTAAGTCATCAATTTTTGTTGTTATTAAACTGTTTTTGGTTATTTGTATTACTATTTATTCAATAGATGCCAAAGCTAAATGTACTGCTCAAACTGATTTCATTCCAAAAAGTACTTATTAGTTAGGTACCTAAACTTCTAAATGTTTATTTACTGAGTCATAATTTGCTAATTTTAAGTACATACTTAGGTATTTCCTCTTTAAACTGGAGCCTGTTTTTTTGGGAATAAAACAATTACTTGGGTATTTCCTTTCTTTCTTAAAAAAAATGAATATGGAACCTTTGATTTTAAAATCAACAATTTTGATCAATTGATTTATTTCTAAGGGGTATTAGCCGTAAGGCAGTTCATATGTTTAAGAACACATAGTTATCTCAAATGACTGTTAATACTGTATTGTTTTTTTGAATTTGCAATATCGTGGTAATTTTTTGGCCTTAAAACTATTTTTCCTATATCTATATATATGTATTTATGTTCTAAGGCTATTTTACCTTTGAAACTTACTATCAATTGAGTGCCTGTTTAAGATATTTCATAAAGTACTGTCCCAAATGCATGAGAAGCCAGGCACAGCCGGCTGCAAACATAGAGTTTAACACCTAATTTTTTTCCGTTAAAAATTGATTTTTTCTTAATTTAATTGAGTTAAGTATTTCCAAAAATTGTAAGGCTTCATTGTTCATTTTAATACAGTGATTGTTTCAAAGCTGTCATAACCAATGTGAATGTTGATGAGAATCTTTACTCAGCTGGCTGAAGACAAAGTCCCCTTAAAAGGTAATTTTTTGCAATCAAGTATTTTGATTTTACCATATAAAATCACTTAAGTATTTGAAGATAATTTTTTTTCGTCAATTTGTTTGTAGGCCATTCAATTTTGGATTGAAAATATATCACTACTGGAAATTATGGAATTTCCGACCACCTGAAAATGATCTTAAATCAAGTCGAAAGTCTTGTTCCGACCACTTTTGGTATCCGGATGGTATCCGGAAAAACCTTTGTTGCTATTTCCGACCACTTTTTGGTATCAATTTGATTTAAGATCATTTTCAGGTGGTCGGAAATTCCATAATTTCCAGTAGTGTATCAACCTAAAACTGTTGAAGTTTCAAATAATCCAGAGACATGACACTGGTTGGGTGAAGGTATATACTATAAATGAAGACATATATTTGAAAGGTAAATATTTTCCCATTCTTGTTGATGTAGAAACAATTGACATTTATGGTCTTCATTGAAGGTATTTACAGAGTAAAAAGGACTTTAGATTACAAATTCCTACAAATTGATGCTCTTCATTCTTCAATGAGTAATGTGTCATGAGCATTTATAAAAGAATACGCAATAAAAAAACATAGGATAAGAAAGTTAGTTAAAACAACCAAGATATCAATTGAACTCTAAGTCATGGACTAAGATTTCAATTAAATAATTAGACAATTTTCAAAGTCCAGATTCATGAAATTTAATAAAAAAAAAAACAACCCAAAAGTCCATGTCCAAAAAACCATAAAAGTTGCAGAATGTCACAACATTAGAACAACACCATTTACTAAGGGCTTACAGAATAGCCCTTAGTAAACCACATTAGAACAACACCACATTAGAACAACACAGTAACTCTGGTCAATTTTTCTCTTGCTTGATCGCAATAGTTTTACATTATTTTGCATCCTGAGTAGATGAGAATTGGTCCATCAAATTTTTCTTGGTTGAACATGGAGATATCTGTTCATCAGTACCCTCATAGGTTTTTGAATTCCATGAACAGCAAGACTACTGGCCTCATAAGAACTATCTCCAGATTCATAATCCTGATTTAAAATAAAAATAAATTTTTAAAAACAATCAAGCCAAACAGAAAACAAAGTGTATAATAGGTCAGTTACGTACATACACTTGAGCAATTAGTTTTAATAGCTCATCTGTTAGGGTACAGTGGGCTGCGACCAAATCTTCATCTTGAGTTATGGTGCTGAGCATAGATAGCAAAATCCATACACTCTGATATTTTTATCCTGTATTGCTGCTTAGATTTAAATGTTTTACAGTTCTAAAAAACAAATTTGACTGCATCACAAGTTCACAACTTAAATGTGTTTTGCTCATATTGCTGTTCAAATTTTGATCCATACAACTAATGTGTTTTGCTTAAATGTGTTTTGACTGCATACACTCTGATGTTTTTATCCTCTATTGTATGCTGTTTTGCTCATATTGAATTAGAGTTTCTTTATTGTAATATCAGTTCGCCTTAAATTGTATTCCAATTTTGCAGGATTCAACTCGTTTGTCAACTTAAGTGAAGTTGAATGTGTCAAAAACTGAAGTCATTTCACTGTTAAATGTGGAATGTGGTTACTACAAAAAAGGTACATATGCTATTATTATTAGTGACTAATTTATTTGTCTAGATTGTCAATAGCAAATTCTTGGCCTAAGTTACACATTGCATATAAATAGTAGTCATATGTCCTATCTGTAAACATTTTGTCTTCCCAGCATGTTCCTTGAATCTTTCTTTATGTAAGATAACTAATATAAATCTGTGACATAGAAACCAATAGTTCAATCTTGGACATCATTGGCACTTGGGTCAAACCGGGCAAAATACAGTTCTGAATATTGTTTCAGAACCCACCAGTACAAATAGATTTTTACATGCCACTTTTCATCATCCTCTTTGAAGAATTTCTGCAAACATTTTCAGAATTAGAGATTATATTCCATTTAAAAAAATAACAATTAATTATAGATTAGAATTATATTTAGTTAGAAACCTTACATCATCAGTGTCATGTTGATCTTCTGGCCGTAGGATCTTTGAGCTTGGATCCCTACTTTGGGAATTAGGCAATTCTGAACAGTGAATTGCCAGTAATGCACTGTCTTTCTCAATTTTTAACACAGAAAATGCATCAAGTAGATTGTCAAATTGTTCCTTGCCAGCAACAATTTTAAATACCAATGATAGACCAAACCAAAGTTTTTAACTCCATAGGTATCTTCCCATTTTCCTAAGCCAAGTTCATTGTCTGCATTAGTTCACTCATAGTATTAAGATTCAAAGATTATTAAAAGTATATGGTGATATGATTTTTACTAAGTTTTTGAAAAGTATGCTATTTCTATACTGTTTGTACCAAGTACACTTAGTACTTAACTATTAAGGGTTATTGGTAGGAAGTATTATATAAATAAAACCAAAGCATGCAGATAGATTAGAAAAAAATATAGATAAGAAAATAAGAAATAAAAATATTTCAATTGCAATATGTATTATTCATACCTTAGCTCTGTCATATAGATCTTTTATAGTGCTTATTACCATGGGAGACTTGGAATTGTCTGTACTGTTGCCAATAGGACATCATTGACACACTATAGATGATTCTAACTGGGGTATATTCAACCTTCATACTGAAAAGAAAAGTATTAGATTTGAAATATTGTTTTTAAAGTAAATCATAATCTGGTTTTTGGTTTAAAATCATATTTGTATTTAGAAGGATTAAAATAGGTTTAAAAATACCAGAAATGAGGTACTCGCTCTGAGGTCTTTGACTCTTCCTAAAATGTAGAGGGGAGCCATTTTCAGGCCGAGTAGATGGCAAAGAAAGAACAACACGCGGAGCTTAATTCGCAAAATGGCTGGTTAGTAGCGATTATTTATAGAATAGAGTTGAAGGCTGAAGAGTTCAAATCAGATTTGGAGGATGTAGATTTCCAAAAAAACTTGACAATTACTGAAGAGCAATTATGGGTTTGCACGGGAAAATGAAACGCCAAAGTAGAAAGGTTGCAAAGTGTTTTGAATTCTCTCATCGATTTTGATATGTATGTATGTATTCGCAAGAGTGTATGTATAAAAACATTTAATGTAAACGGCGACCTGTAACTTGGAACAACTCCCCAAAAATTTGGGAAACCAAAAAGGTGGCTGAGCATAAATTAAGTATTTAAGTTTAATACAAACACAATTACTGAAAATATAAAGTTAATTAAAAGTATTTGACCGCAATCTTATAATGCCAAAACGATGTAGTTCAATTTGGGCGGGAAATTGAAGCCATTTGATTGGCTGAAATCTTATGGCTTTAATATATAGTAAGATAGTAAGATAAGATAGTAAGATTATTATTATTATTATTATTATTATTATTATTATTATTATAGTTTAAATAAAATCAAACGGTATTTCCTTTCGATTTTTAACCGAATCGTTAGGTACGGTTAATTACTTAAATGTTTGGTATGGTTCAGTTCGAAAAAATCGAATCAAATTGCCACACCTAAAGTTAATTACTGAATTGGTCCTTTAACTATAGCAAAATTTAATTTGGTCCCAAGTTAACGGAAGTCTAACGGCAAAACTAACGGAGGACCAAAATTGGCTAAGATTTTTAAAGTTGAGGGACTTAATTGGTCAAAAAAAAAATTAGTCGAGGACCAATATTGGTAATTTCGCTATAGTAAAGGGATCATTTTAGTAATTAACTCTATCCAAAAGCTATCATTTCCTCCTTTCCACATTTCATATGGAAAATTATTGTTTGGACCGTGGTCCACACAGTGTTGTGTGAACCATTAAAAATTACATTTTTAATATACTAAAAGTACATTATTCGTGTACTGAATGTACATTATATAAAATAATGTACTTTCAGTACTCAAATAATGTATTTTTCTTGAAAACAATGTACATTTTTAATATACTAAAAGTACATTATTTTTGTACTGAATGTACATTATTTGATAGTATGGTCCACACAATAATGATTGCATCTCATATGTTGACTAGTGGGCAAAACCCATTTCCTTTTAAGTGAAAAAAATGTTTCTGATTGATGCAACTCCAAAAAACATGTTCCCTTGTAGAGAGTGTGACCAACAACTCGAGTGTGACCAACAACTCTTTCAGAAAAGAACAATGATTATTATTGTTGTTGTTGTCAGTAGTATAAATGTGATCATAAAAATAGAACAACTTGCGTCTATTGTGATAAAAGTTAGATGCCTAAAATGACGCAGTAACGGATTTATAATTAAAATGATCATGTCAAATTCCATTTTTAATCTTTTAAATTAAAAGACTAAGTCAGTTGTAAAAATACAACAGACACATATATTCATGCGTATTTTTTATAAAAAATCAATAAAATATCTACGTTGGATATATATATATATATTTTAAAGCAACTAATGCGGCATATATTAGATATAAGCTGAAATGAAGTTAGGAGGGACAACGTCCCAATACAGAGCAGTAGTTTGATCAAAAGCTGTACAAGCTAAGGGATGAGCTAATAAATTATCTGATCTAGAAATAAACAGAAATCAAAAGTGGATATGTATGATCTGCAACTATCAATAGCATAGCCGACGTACGAACCAACTGTAGTAGTGACGGAGGACAGATAGCGTTGAAGAGTTAGGCAATCCGTGAGAAGCTCTATAAACCGCTCCCCGCGATCCTTGAGCTAGGACAAGGCTTCCTTGCATGCGAATGTCTCGGCCATCAATGGAGAGAAGCAATCCGGGAAAACGGCATTGAAGGTCGCAACATAACTTCCATCGGTGTCGAGAAGCACCGCTTCGACCGTGGATCTGTTCGCCGAGTGGTGATATCCGGCGTCGAAGCGGTGATACGGTTGTGTGGTCGGTAGTGGCATGATGGCTCACGGCAGCCTCGGCAGTCTCGGCAAGCGCGGCTGGCTTGGCAAGTGGTGGCTGGTGGCTGGTGGCTGCTGTCTGGGTGCACTCGGCGCCAGGCATGCTTGGCGGCGGTGGCGGTCGCCACAAGTCTCTTTGGTGTCGGGAGATAATCATGCCAAACCGCACCATTTCTTGCTTTCCAAATGTAATATAAAATTATAGCTATGAACATCATCCCATTAGTGTCTAGAATATTCAAAACTTCACCAAACCAAACAAGAAAAATATTTGTCACAATATTGGGGATAGGAAGGTGGGATTCGCACAATATAGAGCTTGCAAAACCACACAAACCAAAGAATGCATAGTGTCCTCATGAATGATTCCACACATGGCACAAGTAGGATCAACCTCCACGCTCTTTATAAGCAAGTTCTTGGTAGTGGAGAGGATATCACTTAGAGCTCTCCAAAGAAAGGTTTTCCATTGCGGATTTTAAGCTTCCATAGAGAGAGCCACTTATTAAAAGTGCCATCATTGTCAACAAAATTCCCAACAATGAGTCTGTAGCCACTATTAACAGAATAGTAATATTACACCCTCGATTTTTCAGCATAATTAAAACTTAAATATAAAGATAAGTCTAATCATTAAGTCAAAGCTTAGCGGAAGCTAGTCAGTAAAATACGAGGGAGTTACGCCACATCTATCTAACTATAGATGCACAGGCTAGAAACTAAAACAAAAACCAAACACAAGTTCAAATCCAATAAGTCTAGGCTCACATGCCACAAGTCTAAAACAACGAAAGGGAAAGTTACGCTATCTAAGCCTTCGTTTAGCGCGCTCTCACGATCTACTCAACACCCAAAAATACAAGGGTAGCACCCGTCAACGAATAATGCTGGTAACCCACCAATACTTGTTGAGTACAATATAATATAGATATAGAGAAAAGCATTTGAGACTGGGAATACATTATATATAGTCTTTAAAACGAGGAATAGAAACAACATAAGACACATCATAACATCACTCTCTAATAAAGACCAACACCCAACAGTTACTCAATAATCAATAAGGACGACAAAAGTAACATGCTTGACAACAAGATACATCATACGATAATCAATCAAGAGACAACATAAGTCATACTCATAAACCATGAGAGACAAGATTCGCATTCAATGATACGTACAAGTTTCAAGTTCCAACCTTATGCCCTGTTCAAACCATTCTCACCAGGCCAACCTTATTACAGTTCCAACCATTACCTCCTAGTGCCACCCTGTACACCAAGTCCAACCTTATCCCTCCGGATCCTATACATTGCTCCCCGCCTGCATTCCGCCAGCGTGCCACCGAACGTAGACATTCGTAATGTCATTAATCATAGTAGAATAGTACTAATCACATGATAGTCTATCTCCTTTCATTATTGCCCACCAATTTCATAACATTACACAGTCATCATCATAGAGGATTGAGGCTCATCAATAGCCCAATCAAGTATCAACAAATGCGTACATCATATGTACAAGATCATAACAATGAATACAAATCGATAGAGTTCAATGAAAGGCATGAATAGATCATCAAACAACATCATAACAACAATAGCCTTTGATCCAAAGATCACCATGATTGGCAACACAAGTTGCCAATCCTCATTAAGGACAAACGAACAACTCATACTAGCATCAACAACATTAGAACTAACATGTACATCAAAAGGGGAAACATAACAGTTCAATCAACCTCAACAACTTCACATTAATCCAACGAATCACAAGGTTGGATCATAAGCACGATTCAAGACTCATAATCCTATCATGGATACTTAGGACACCGTTCTAGACATACGAAACATCAAAGGAGACACACAAGTGCACCACGATTCAACAAAACGGAGGCCAAAGCATCACGTACCAATGGGCGGAACGGTGGGTGGACAACCATCCGCCACTCTCCCATACACGTACCAGCGGGTGGAACCACGGGTGGGCCTCCACCCGCGGCTCTGCACGCCGGTACCATACCTTCCACCCGCAGGTAGAACGGCGGGTGGACAGCCACTCGCTGTTCTGCCCGCGGGTACATACTTGTACCCACCAATTTCCCTTCGGGGAAAAACAGCAACATTACCAAGTTCAAGTCCAAAACACCCAAAACCTCACATTCAACAAGGAAATGACTTGACCACATGAATATCTCAATGAATAACATTTATGAACCCTAGATACAAGCTCTAACATGCCTAAACACAAGATTATGCATCAAATCACTCACAACATCAAGAACATCAATAGAGTAGCAAGAAATCATCATAACAAGTATAAAATAGGTTTTGTAGAACATGGGTTACCTTTGTAGACCAAGATACACTTCCTTTCTACTTCCTAGACCTCTCCTTGAAGCTCTTCCTCAACAAAGTCTTCTCAACACAACCAAACGACACAAAGAAAACCTACACTTAGATAAAGATTAGGTAAAACTCACTAAAAACAATAGCTAAGCTAAGATCTTACCCTTCCTAGAGTCTTGATGGTGGAAAGGTGGAATCTTGGAGAACTTTCATGCAAGGTTGAAGGAGGATTTGGTTGGCTTGGATAATAAGCTACACCTCTAGAGAGAAGGTAGAGAGTCTAGTGTTTTCTTGCCAAATGTAGGAAATGAAGTGTAGTCTTGTTAGGGTAAGGCTTGAATGCCAAGTAAGGGTGAAAGGACTAGAATGCCCTCCCTTATTAAAAAGGTTAGGAAGACATAAAAAGGCTAGGTACAACTTATAAAGCTCAAGGTCTTTTCTTTTGACTAAACCAATTGACCAAGGGATTGGTCAATTTAAGTCCTCCGACTTTTAATTAAGGAATTGGAAGGGAAATTCACAAGGAAGATTTGGAATTACTTACATAATTAACTCCATTTAAGAATTGGATTTTTGGGGTGTCACAGGTAACCTTTAGGATCCCCATGCCAATACCAAGTGTCTTTGTAATCTGGGGAAATAGGGATTTCAATATACGGTCCACATTAGTAGGTAGAAAAATGTTAGACAGAATAGAATAATCCCACGAACCAGTATCCTGGTCAATCAAACCCACTACGCTAGTGCCAGCCAACTAAGGGGCATCTCAGTTTGTATCATCGGATCTTTATCATCTTGGAGCCAGGGATGACCCCAAATTAGCGTAGACTCCCCATTCCCAATCCTGCGCCTCACTCCACTACAAATCAAACTCTAGGCTGCCATAATACTGCGCCAACAGAAACAGGGGTTATTCCCTAAACATGCATAGAAAATGAGTCCTTAGGATAGTACCTAGCCTTGTATACATG